GCATTTCTTTACACCAACAATGAAATATCAGAAAGAGAAGGTAAACAATCTGTTTTAAAATTACATTAAAAAATACTTAGGAATAAACCTGACCTAGGAAGTGAAAGACATATGCTGAGTACTAAAAGAACATTCTTTTAGTTCTGCTTCCCTGGTGGCTCAGTGATAAAGAATTCCCTTGCAATGCAGGAGACATAGGAGATGTGGGTTCGATCCTTCGGTCCAGAAGGTCCCCTGGAGGAGGGCATGGCAACCAACTTGAGTACTCTTGCCTGAGAATCCCATGGACAGAAGAGCCTGGCGGGCTACAGTTCATAGGGTCACAAAGAGTTGGACACGACTGAAGTAACTTAGCACAAAAAAACATTCTCTATTAATGAGGAAATTGAAGATGATTCAAGGAAATGGAAAGATATCCCATGCTCTTGGATTGAAAGAATTGTTAAAATGGCCATAATACCGAAAGGAATCTACAGAGTTAATGTGATCACTATCAAACAAATTACCCATTATATTTTTCACAGAACTAGAACAAATAATCTTAAAATTCATTTGGAACCATAAAAGACCCAGAACTGACAAAGCAATCCTAAAGAAAAAAAAAAATCAAGCAGGAGGCATAGCCCTTCCAAACTTGAGACAGTATTACAAAACTACAGTAGTCAAAACTGCATGATATTGGCACAAAAACAGACATATGGATCAATGGAACAGAATAGCCCATTAAGAAACCCACACACCTATGGTCAATTGTGTAAAATGTGTACTCAGTCACTCAGTCATGTCTGACTCTTTGTGATCCCATGGACTACACAGCCTGCCAGGCTCCTCCGTCCGTGGGATTCTCCAGGCAACCATACTGGAGTAGGTTGCCATTTCCTTCTCCAGGGGATCTTCCCAACCCAGGGATTGAACCCCGGTCTCCTGTGTCTCCTGCATTGACAGGTGGATTCTTTACCACTGAGCCACCTGGGAAGCCCTAATGGTCAGTTAATTTTCAACAAAGGAGGTAAGAATACACAATGGGGAAAAGACAGTTTCTTCAGGAAGTAGTACTGGGAAAGCTGAACAGCCACATGTAAATCAATGAAGTTGGAACACACCCTCTCACCATATATAAAAAATAAACTCAAAATGGCTTAAGGACTTAAACATAAAAAATGATACCATAAAACTCCTAGAAGAGATCATACGCAAAACATTCTCTGACATTAATTATTTCAATGTTTTCTTAGGTCGGTCTCCCAAGGGAATAGAAATAAAAGCAAAAATAAACAATGGGACCTAATGAAACTTGTAAGGTTTTACACAGCAAAGGAAACCATAAAAAAATGAAAACACAACTTACAGACTGGGAGAAAATATTTGAAAATTGTGCAACCAACAAGGGCTTAATTTCCAAAATATACAAACAGTTCATACAACTCAATAAGAAAAAACAAATGTCCCAGTTGAAAAATGGGGAGAAGATCTAAAGATCTTCTCCAAAGAAGACATACAGTTGCGCAATAGGCACATGAAAACATGATAAAAAAGATGATCAACATTGCTAATTATTAGAGAAATGCCAATCAAAACTACCTTAAGGTACCACCTCACACCAGTCAGAATGGCCATCATTAAAAAGCCTTACAAATAACAGGGAATTCTCTGGCATCCCAGTGGTTAGGACTCCACACTTTCCTGCTGAGGGAATGGGTTCAACCCCTGGTTAGGGAACTAAGATCCTGTAAGTCATACAGCGTGGCCAAAAAAAAAAAAAAAGTCACAAATAACAAATGCTGGAGAGGGTGTGGAGAAAGGGGAGCCCTCCTATACTGTTGTTGGAATGAAAGTTGGTACAGCTGCTATGGAAAACAGTATGAGGTTCCTCAAAAAACTAACAATAGAGCTACCATATGATCCAGCAACACTCTTGGGCAAATATCCGAAAAATATGACAACTCTAATTTGAAAAGATACATGTACTCCTATGTTCATAGCAGCACTATTCATAATAGCCAAGACATGGAAACAACCTAAACATCCATTGAATGGATAAAGATGTGATACATATGCAGTGGACTACTACTCAGCAATAAAAAGAAATGGAATTTTGCCATTTGTAGCAACGTGGATGAACCTAGAGATTATCATACTAAGTGAAGGAAGTCAGGAAAAGAAACACCACATGATATCACTTATATGTAGAATCTAAAATATGGTACAGAGGAACCTATCTGCAAAGCAGGAGACTCATGGACACAAAGAACAGACCTGAGGTTGCCAAGGGTGGGGGATGAGACCGGGAGTTTGCGATTCAGTAGATGTAAAACTATTATATTTATGATGGATAAACAACAAGGTCCTAATATATAGCACAAGGAACTATATTCAGTATCCTGTGATAAACCATAAAGGAAAAGAATATGAAAAAGAATGTATATATGTGTATATCTGAATCAGTTTGCTGTACCACAGAAATTAACACATTGTAAATCAAGCATACTTCAATAAAAATTAAAGAAATAAGAAAAAACTGAGACTAGCCTTGAAAACTCCTTGAGCAGACAAAACCAGTTTAGTCACACAAGCAAGGCTTAATTTAACTTTGGGAAGACTAACCTGACCTAGGTCATTTATTGCTTATGCTTCTGAAAATCGTAAGACAAAGTTTAACTGTTTTCCAAGGCTGATATGAGGTACCCACTGACCAATTCCCTACCGTTTAGGAAAATTCTAATAATATAAGCCATCACTGTGAAGAAAAAAAATCACTGCTATCATGCTATGTAAACTACTTTATACCAGTACACCCCTGGGCCTCATTCCATGTTTTGGTTTAAATGCTCTGTTTACAAACTGTCTTTTTGGTGTGTGTGCAATAAACATTCATTAACTACTACTTTGATGATTAATTGACTTTGTTATTTTTCTATGATTTTTTTGGTAAATTATTTATTCATTTATTTAAGTTGTGCTGGGTCTTCATTGTTGTGTGGGCTTTTCTCTAGTTGGGCAAGCAGGGGCTACTCTCTAGCTGCAGTGCACGAGTTTCTTCTCATTGTGGTGGCTTCTCTCATGGAACACAGGCTCTAGGGCACTCAGACTTCAGCAGTTGTGGTGCATGTACTTAGTTGCTCCTCAGCATGTGGGATCTTCCCGAATCAGGGCTTGAATCTGCGTCTCTTGCATTGGCAGGTGGATTCTTATCCACCTCGCCACCAGGGAAGTCTTTCTGTGATCCTTTGACAAGTCACAAAGATCACCATTGATTGTGACAAGGCACAGTTGATTAAATTGTTGGTCATTGGTGATTGAACTTAGTCTTATTCAGCCTCTCACCCTTCTTCCCTTCTTAGAGGTCAGGGTGGGGGTGGAAACTGAAAGTTCCAACCCTCTAACATTGCAGCTTGGTTCCCCTGACAACCAGCCCCCATCCTAAAGTTATCTAGGGGATTTCAAAAGTATCCTCATTAACATAACCAAAGACACTTTGATTGCACTTGTTCAGTCGCTAAGTCCTGTCTGATTTCTCTGTGACCCCATGAACTGCAGCACACCAGGATTCCCTGGTGTGTGTCTTCCAGAGTTTGCTGAAACTCATGTTCATTGTGTTGGTGATGCCATGCAACTATCTCATCCTCTGATGCCCTCAGTCTTTACAATGAGTCAGCTCTTTGCATCAGATGGCCAAAGTATTGGAGCTTCAGCATCAGTCCTTCCAATGCATATTCAGGGTTGATTTCCTTTAGGATGGATTGATTTGATCTCTTTGCAGTCCAAGGGACTCTCAAGAGTCTTCTCCCGCACCACAGTTTGAAAGCATCAATTCTTCAGTGCTCAGCCTTCTTTATGGTCCAACTCTCACATCTGTACATGATTACTGGAAAAATCATAGCTTTGACTATACAGAGCTTTGTTGGCAAAGTGACGTCCCTGCTTTTTGATATACTCTCTAGGTTTGTCATAGCTTTTCTTGCAAAGAGCAAGTGTCCTTTAATTTCATGGCTGCAGTGCTGTCCTTCGTGACTTTGGAGCCCAAGAAAAGAAAATCTGTCACTGTTTCTCTTCCCCATCTATTTGCCATGAAATGTTGGAACTGGATGCCATGATCTTAGTTTTTTGAATGTTGAGTTTTAAGCCAGCTTTTTCAATCTCCTCTTTCACCCTCATCAAGAGGCTCCTTAGTTCCTCTTTGCTTTCCCTGATTGCACTTATCACTTAGGAAATTCTAAAGAGTTTTAGGAGCACAGTGCCAGGAATGGAGATAAAGACCAAATATATATTTTGTTATAAAGAAAGCAGCTCTTTTGCCCTTTTCCTATTTGCCCATTTCTGGTTCCCCTGTAACCTTAAAAGAACCTGATCATAGGAATGAGATCACCAGGCAATTTAAGCAAACTCCTGACTTATGTTCTCCTGAATGCACACCATGCCTTGCCTAACATGTTGATTCTTTTCCTAGACAGAAGTAAGTAGGCCTCCGCCCCCAGTAGCCCTCATAAGTAATCCTGCCAGCAAGATAACATCTGAAGAGTCAGCTAGTCTGCACACAAAGGAGAAGGATGCAGAAGCCAACCTCCTGCTTCAATGATTCCCTGAGTTTCTTCCTCCTTTTCCCTTTAAAAACTGTCATGGCTGATTAGAATCTTCAGAATTGGAGTGAGGACAAGAGTACACCTCCTCTCCAGGTTGCCTGCTTTTCTACTGACACTTGACTCTCCACTATCGCCTTTCGAACAAGCAGTCAAATCTGCCTTTAGTAATAAGAAAGCAAAATATCACATATACCAAACCAAAAATGTTCACTGGAAAGATTTATTTTAGCAGCTCAGTTTTATCACATTCTACACATTTGTTCAATATATTTATATTTGTTCTGCATAGATGGCATATTAACTTTTATAGTTGACTTTTTCATTGGATATTTGCTGCTACCTGGCCTGAAGAAAGAGTCAGGAGGATAAATAAAACCCGCATGGTGGAAACAGAGCAGCGTTTCGGTTCTCGGCAGAACTTTACTGTGGTGTGAGCTTCAGTGTCTGCTTTTCTTCCTCTTCCTTCTCAAATCCTGAGCAGATGAGAGATCTTCCCTTGGGATATCGAGCACAACACTTACGCAGTTCTTCGATGACAGCCTGACACTTAGATTCCATGTAGTTGTTGGCTGAAAGACAGACAGGCAGACCCTAGTCATGATCTCACAGGACTCAGGCACAGGGATGTTGAGACCTGAACTTCCCAGTCCTTTTCACCTTAATGTATCTACAGACATGGAAGAAAGAGGATGTAACCACATCCACTGAATTCTTTCGAGACCCATCGACAGCTTAATAAGGAAGAAAAGTATGATTTACAAAGTGCTCAAAAGATATTTTCACATCTAATTTCTTTTTCTTTAAGGCTGATTACTTATGTGCCTTCTTCTAGGGCAGCAGTTTCTAACCTCCTCTCTCTTTTTTTTTGTAGGGAGGGGTCACTAATCCCTTGCACATTAGTTTGCACTCAGTTTAAGGTGGCTGCTGGATGTTCCCAAAGAAACCTTTGCATTAGGGGTTGAGAAACTGCAGCCTCAGGGTTGAATTCTACTCTTTTTAACAGCTGAGCTAAGAATAAATTTATTTGGGGACTTCCCAGGTGGTGCTAGTGGTAAAGAATCCACCAGCCAATGCAGGAGGCATAAGAGATGAAGGTTTGATCCTGGGTTGGGAAGATCCCCTGGGGAAGGGCATGGCAATACACTCCAGTATTCTTGCCTGGAGAATCCCCATGGACAGAGGAGCCTGGTGGGCTGTAGTCCATGGGGTCGCACAGAGTTAGACATGACTGAAGCGACTTCCCATGCATGAGCTAAGAATGGTTTTTATAGAAGGTTGTAAACACACACCCACACCCACAGCCACACACACCCACCCAAAGTCCTCCTGACCTCCAAAGCCTAAAATGTTTCCTGTTAGGTCCTTTACATAAAACATTTGCATATCTCTGCCAAAGATAGACCCTAAGTCTAGGAGGATTTGATCTAAAGGTTCTAGGTAAGCTGATTGATTTGAGTCCCCCAGTACTAAAATGGGGTGCATGGGGGTTAGTCTGGGATAGGAAAGACAATTCAGATTAGCAAGAGTATGGTTGGGCGGCTAAGTCCAGGTTTGGACCCAGACCAAAGGAGTTCCAATCGTCACTGTGCCCCTTACTAGTTCTGTGACCCTGGACAAGTTACAAAGCTTATATCCATCTCATGGGTGAAAGGATTAAGTCAATGTTATTTAAAGCCCTTTCAATTGCGATTGTCATCCAGCGAGTAATGGTCTCTATTTCAGTCCTTCCAGCTTTCATCGTAGCAAGGGGGTGTAACCAGCTCTAACTTGATGTGTATTCTCCTTTAGCCATATGATGCTAATTCAAATCAGGAAAGATTCAGAATCACCTAAGAATTTATGTGGGAGAAGAAATTATGAAAAGCATTCTTTGCAGGCAGGCGGGCAGGGGGTGGATGACCTGGGCCCATGGCAATGAAAGCATGGAATCCTAACCACTGGACTGCCAGGGAATTCCCCTTCCTTTTTCGTCAATTTGGAGAAAGGAAAGAAAAGGATGAATAAAATGGCATTCTTATTTTCCATTAACGTTTCAGATTAAAAGATTTTAAAAATATTGCTTTCATCATAAATGGAAAAGTCCAAGAACGAAAGTTAAAGGTCAATGGAAATACACAAACAAGGGTTTTCTTTGGTGGTGAGTCTTTGGGTGAATTCTGAACATTTTCTCCTCTTTTGTTTTTATATTTTCATGGGGATCCATGTCTGTTACTTTAATAATGGGAAAATGATAAAAAAAATCAGTTTTCAAATTCAGATAGCCTTGTAGCTTTCTGCTAGTAATCACTGGCTGATTTAAAAAACTAAAATCTTCTAGCACTTGGTCCAACAAAATGGACGAATCATATCAAATATGCTTTAGCTGAAATTAACTTTTGCCTTTAAGAGTTAGTTGCTGAATCCCAATTGTATTTTCACCCCCACACCTTCTAACCTGATTGCTCTTAAAAAGTGAGTTGTAAACTATGACCAACCCATTTAAAACTAGTCTTTTTTAAAAATGACTTTGCTCAGCTTAGTGATTATCAACTCTGGCTGTGTATTAAAATCACCTGGTTAACTATTTTGATTGAGTGCTACCCAGACCCCAGCTGCAGAGATTGTGATTTAATTGTTCTAGGCAAGTTTTTGAAGTTCTCTAGGTGATTCTAAGCGTACAACCAGGATTTGTTAACCCTAAGCTTAGGTCACATTGCTTTATTTTCTGCCATCTTTGGTGATATAATGAAGAAAATATTGAGGATAAATTAATTACAGAAATATTATATTGTGAGCAGAGTTAGTATTGTCTGTTGATAAAAAGAACACTTGGTCTCTTGTTAGTTCACAGATAAATTGGAAACATAGAAAAACCATTTAACGTACTACCTTGTAAACATTTCTGTATCTCACAGGCTTGTTTCTGGCACGGATCCTTCTGCGGCATTTCCAGAAAACTAAAATAAGAAAAATGATGTTTATTTTGTTTTTATACATAAAGACTTTAAACCCCCTCTAGATGGAATTTTCTTCTGAGATAAGCAGTATGCTCTTACAATTGCTGGAAAACAATTACACTAAAACATTCTTCCCGTTCAGAGGATGAATATGCTGTATTTGTATATAATATTGCATTTCGCTTGGAAGATATAAATAGCTTGAAAAAAAACCCTTGAATTCAACTCATCTTGACCACTGTAAACCAACATTGGGCTAGAGGAGCCAGAGCTGCAACCTGACGGCTCTATGACTTACAGAACCACCTTTATAAATGATTTAACTCCCTGAGCCTTTTTCCTAATTATTGATGTGTAAAATAGGGATAATACCTACCTGAAAGCACTGATGGAAGGATTAAATGTCATAAAGGCGATAAACTGCATAGAACAGTGCCTGGAAGGCAGTAAGGACTGAACACATGATAGCTATTATTCCCGAGATTTTTTAACAAGTAAAACCTTACTTTTAATGTACATAAATTGCTATGAGTATTTTAACTCAGGAAATGTCTTTATCGGGTAGTGAATCAGCAATATTTGGTGCTATTACTACTTCCTGAGAAAGGTGCTAGGTAAGCAGTTAAAATTTTTCTTGGAGTTCTTACAGAAACCAACTTCAGATATTTGAAACCAGAGAATAAACTTAAGTGCCCATGATTCTGATCAGCAACTTCTAATAATGTGAAGACACCATTTCAGAAAGGAAAAAGGCCCAGGAGCCTTGGTAGCTATTTCATGAATGCAAATAATCTCCTTTCTCTCTTTTTCCCCCTCAGAGCCCCCTAACTTCTCAGTAGATCTGAGTTAGGTCAGTACTGGGATGGGAAACACTGGCGCAAAACCTAGGATATTTACAGGACGGGAGAAGGAAAGGCAGGTGAATTGCTGCAGGGCAAATAAGCGACAAAGAGATGCTGATGCTGCTAGCAGTTGCTCTCTTCTCTCTAAATCAGTACCAAGTCCTTGGTGATCGGGGCATCTGTTCTGTAGCAGGTGCTGACTTTTGTGGGATTCATCAGATCCCAGGTCCAGCAGATGATGTCCGTTAACGGGTCTATGGCAATTTCCAAAGGAGTCAATGGCAAGTTACGTATCCTAACTACGTGCTTGTGTTGGCTTGCTTTCTGCCTGCATAACCCTTCCTCTGCAGTTCCACTTTCCGTGTTCTTCATGGCCCTTTCTAAACTTCTGTGTTCTTGAGCAGTTTTTCACCCCGTGCCCCACCCCACCCCCAGGCCCACAGGTGGGTGCACTGCAGTGGTGAATGTCGTGATTGTCATTTACTGAACAGAACACTGGAGCATCTCTTCCTAGAATCCCAGCACCTGGGGGGGTGGAAAAGAAAAGATCATTAGCATCACCACGATCAGAGCGAAAAAGCAGCAGCAGGGTAGGGATAGGGGAGAGAGAGAAAATACATACCCGGTTAATCATCAGGCAAAAGCTTAAGCAACAGCTCCTGTACGCCCCTGACCTGCCAGAAAAAGAAAAGTTTATAGAGTACTCTGTCATAAGAGGCCCAGGAAAATGAAAAAAAAAAACATGATTAAGCAACAGGCCTACCATTAAATGATGCTGGATTTGCCACAAGCGAGAGTTGTTGTCCATGTAGCGCTCCTCAGGGTAGAGTTGCCACATGAGAGGTAGCTGGGAGGTGAGAAGGTGGCTTGGCCTGGCTGCATCACCTAAAGGAACCTGAACTTGCTGAACTCGGGCCCTTAGGAAGCTCGTCTCCTGGTGGAGAGAAGCGATCACACAGAAAACCAGAGACTTCAGGATGGTGCGATGGATGTGCTTGAAAGCAAAAAATCGATCAAGAAATCCGCAAAGGAGAAACAATTACCTCTTCCAGGACGGCCACCCACGTGCGCTGGTACTCGTCGCGGTAGACACCCTCTTGGTGAACCCAGAGGCGATCGGGTGGGGCCCCCACATCCTGTCCTGCCATCCTGGGCTTTGGGGTCCAATGCTAGCCCTGCTTTTCTCCAGCTAAGCCTGCAGCACCCGTGCACAGGACACAGGTGTGACTTTGGGGCTTGGATTGAACACACCCATGAGCCAGGGGACCTGGTACTAGCAACCACCAACTAGAAGCCAACCTCTTTGACGCCTACTCGCACTGTTTACACTGAACCCGGGGCATCTGAAGCTCGTGGCCGGTTTGAAACTTGGGGCAGAACCTCGGGTGAGGCTGCTGACGGCGAAGCACTCTAGAACTTGGGGAGGGAAGGGGTTCTGGGGACACGTACGAACAGTGCTAATGGGAAGCCAGGGGTCGGGGGCTGGTCTCGCAGTCTTTGCATTCCGCAAGCAGCATCGGACAAAATGTAGTGAGCCATGGAGTATGCACAGCAGTGCACAGGACACACTTATTGGGGCAGGAAAGCAGTAGAACAGACGCATGCATGCCATCCGTCCCCAAGTAAAAGCCCTTTCCAAGCAGTTTCCATCTTAAAAGGTAAGACTGTGCAGGTCAAATTATGTAATCATGTATGTGGCTTTCTAAATGGCAATCAGAATTTTATTTTAAAGGGCAAACGACCTATTTACCAGTTTTCTTAGAAAGCTTACTTATAGGAGCTAGGCATTTCCAGAAGGCAGTTTTCTTTTTAGGGAAAATATATAAGGTCACATCATGGAATGTTTCAGTTCCAAGAGACTCTGGGATCATGATGGTTCAGAGTTGAGAGACGGCAAATGAAAGTTACCCATCTCGTTTCATTTTTATGCTTTGGGGTGTCACAGGAGCCCATTCTCCCACAGACGGATGGCTTTACATTCTGTTTTCCCAAGTCAGAAGAGAAGAAAAGCCCACCTACTCTTTGAGAGGTGTAAGCGAAGCACACTTTCGGGGCCAACTCTTACATAACACAAACTCAGCTCTACCATGAGGATCCTCTGCCCACTTCTGGATCAGATTTCAGGGCCTCACAATAACTTGACCTGCATTTTGCAGGAATGAACCTTTGGGGGCCAGGTTACAGCATCATGGGGTAGTTTCCCTGGACCTCTACATTGGGCAGGGCGCAGACATGCCATTGGGGAATCCACTCCAAAAAAACAGAGGCCTTCTATTCCCACTGGGTGACTTAGGTAGGAGAGGGGTTGCAATACGGCTTGGGAGGTTGCTAAACCCTCAAAATGAGATTGTCAAGAGCAAACAAGAAGCCAGAACGCAGGGTGAAGTCCGAGAGGAGAACTGAGATGAACCCAGCCTTCTTTGCCAGAACAAGCTGAGTCTTATTTGTTGTTGTTTTTCCTTAACATTAGTTAAGGAAATTTTTAGTTTACCTTCACTGAAAGGTATGTGGAAATATGTTTGAGAGAGGGAGGAAATGGTTTGATTGGCATGAATGATTTATGAGCATCACAGTTGCTTTGTCCATTGTACCCTGAGTGGACCTGACTCTGAGCTTATCATACCTTTTGTCTTATGAGTAAGTAAGTAAGTGTTAGTCGCTCAGTCGTGCCCAACTCTGCGACCCCATGGACTGCAGGCCATCAGGTTCCTCTTTCCATGAGATTTTCCAGGCAAGGATACTGGAGTGGGTCATCATGCCTTTCTCCAGGGGATCTTCCCAACCCAGGGATTGAACTTGGGTCTCCTGCATTGCAGACAGATTCTTTACCGACTGAGCTACAAGGAAAGCCCTTTGTCTTACACGGCTCTCTTATTTCAAACTCATCAAAGGCAGAACACCCTCTCCTTAACCAAATCCCGATTTCTCTCAGTGGCAACATAGCCTCTCCTGATCCTGCAGACTCAAACCTTACGACTTTTCCTGTACTTCCTCCTCTTCTTCAGTGGGTACATCCCACCTGTCACCAATGACAACCAGCGCCACTACCACTATTATTTGAGACCAACTTCCCCCTGATAGCAGGTTCATTGTGTCTAGTGCTGTATCCTTGTTCTCCCTGTAAGTTCAGTTCAGTTGCTCAGTCGTGTCCGACTCTTTGCGACCCCATGGACGGCAGCACAGCAGGCCTCCCTGTCCATCACCAACTGCCGGAGTCTACCCAAATTCATGTCCATTGAGTCGGTGATGCCATCCAACCATCTCATCCTCTGTCGTCCCCTTCTCCTCCTGCCCTCAAACTTGCCCAGCATCAGGGTCTTTTCCAATGAGTCAGCTCTTCGTTTCAGGTGGCCAAAGTACTGGAGTTTCAGCTTCAACATCAGTCCTTCCAATGAACACCCAGGACTGATCTCCATTAGAATGGACTGGTTGGATCTCCTTGCAGTCACCCTGTCCACTCACGTATAATATGCCTTCCCAGTCCTCTCTGCCTATCTCAGTGCTGTGACCACAGAGGGTATATGTCTGCCTCCTTGATGAAAACATCTTGCCTCTGATGACTACTGAACATTTATGTTTAAAAGTCACATTTTGGCCACTAATTATAAATTGCTTTGCATTTCGCTCTGCTTATTTCACAAGTCCTGTCCCCGCCCCACACTGATAAAGTATTATAAGCACCTACACAGAAGGAATAACATAGTACTGGGCAGTACTGGGGCACTGTGAGCCTCAAATACTAGTCAGTGTTCCTGGGCGTGGATGGACATGGTATGCTGAGTAGACAAACAAAAGGCCATATAAACATGGGTAGAGAGTGGTTCATTCTTTGGGTAGATTAGATAGCTGTTTGTTATTTTGTTCAAAGCCTTTTTTTCAATTTAGCAGACACAACTATTCTGTCTCTCTTCCCTGTCCCCCGCCCCACAGCTTTGGAAAGGAGCGATCCAAGAAAAGAAAAACAGTAAATAGGAATGTCAAAAAGAGAGTCAAGTCTGAATTTTGAATACAGAAGAAATTGGTGTGTTCCCCCTGCCCGCCTTTGAAGTAGAAACCCAGCGTTGAGGGTTTTAGGGCCATCTCAACTTCACAGGTAGGCCCTGGCAACAACTAACAGATTGTCACACTGACATTTACATGTTTTGAAGGAAGAGCAAATGTTTACTGGTTACCCTGACTTTGAAAGGAGATGCTGCCAGCAGAATAGAGGGCCAACCAATTGGATGGGCTAAGTTAGGAAGAATCACTACCAAGAGGCCTGTGAACCTCTGCGAAATATTCTTAGAGGAAGGGCACCACATGTAGCACTGTGACCCACAGGACAACATGCTGGACATTGGTGGGGTGAGCTGGGGACAAGCCCCAGCACACAGCCCTGGACTCCCACTCAGAGATGCGTGATGGCCCAGTGGAAGGCAACTGCAGGGATCAAGGGACTGAGAAGCTGCCCTGTGAATGCAAATCAACAAGAACCTCAGCTGAGAAACGCAAAGGCTCAGTGAGAGGGCTGAAGAGCAAAGCCCCGAGAATCACCGGGGAAGGCAATGGCACCCCACTCCAGTACTCTTGCCTGGAAAATCCCACAGACGGAGGAGCCTGGTAGGCTGCAGTCGATGGGGTCGCTAAGAGTTGGACACGACTGAGCGACTTCGCTTTCATTTTCACTTTCATGCATTGGAGAAGGAAATGGCAACCCACTCCAGTGTTCTTGCCCAGGGACAGGGGAGCCTGGTGGACTGCCGTCTATGGGGTCGCACAGAGTCGGACACAACTGAAGCTACTTAGCAGCCCCAGAATCACAGGTTGTATGAATGGAACACAGTCTCCCTAGAGGTGATCCTTGGGACGCTGGCCCCTAACTTTTTCTTGGTCAAGTAAGTTTGGGAATCTTAGGGAAGCATAAAGTACCTAAGGATAATAAAAACTCTGACAAGTTATGCAGTCACAAAACTTTAACATTCTCCCCAATTTATCTGACTAGAGAACATTCTTCTCTATAGACACTTGTGCATAAACTTCAGGGCCCTGTGAACTAAGATGAATCTCTGAAAACCTCGAGATAAACTTAGGTACAAAGTGCAATACAACACACAGAACATAACCCTGTTCCACTCAACTCAAGGAACACTACCAGATGCAAATTCAAGTGGACTCAAACAAGTGTTTACAAGGACCTTCCTGGCAGTCCAGTGGTTAAGAGTCTGTGCTCCCAATTCAGGGTGCATGGGTTCCATCCCTGGTGGGGGAACAAAGGTTCCTGCATGCCTCACGGTGTGGCCAAAAAAAGTGTTTATATTCCTTTATTACCCATGAATGTAGGGCTTCCCAGGTGGTGCTCGTGGTAAAGAATCCATCTGCCAATGCAGGAGACGCAAGAGACATGTGTTCAATCCCTGGGTGGGGAAGATCCCTTGGAGGAGGAAATGGCAACCCACTCTAGAATTCTTGCCCTGAAAACTCCATGGGCCGAGGAGCCTGGCAGGCTACAATCCATGGAGTAACAAAGAGTTGGACATGACTGAACGACTGAGCATACCCATGAATACACTAAAAAAGATTTCCCCCTTGGGGGTTACCTTGATGGTAACCTGAATATGACCAGGGACCACACTGGCCTAGATAAACTATTTCTTAGTAAGGCGGTTTGTAAACTATTTTAAATAGATGACAGATCACAAAGAAGGATTTCCTTAGGTATGTAAGTACAACCATTATTTTTCATGTATAGAATGAATTAGTCTCTTTTAAAAAAATTTATAATTTGGTTTAACTTCCAAGTGTTTGAACAGCTTTCAAACATGAATCAGTCGAATACATTTATTTTATTTGAAGTGAATTAATGAACTCATCTAATTACAATGAGTGAAGTTATTAATATCAAGAATGCCAGCCCTGGAGTCAGCCTGGCCTGTATATGAATGCTGGTTTTGCCACTTACTAGTTCTGTGACCTCGGATAAGTTAAGCTCTCTACACTCCAGCTTTCTAAAATGTTAAATGAGATAAAGAACATATTGATCATGATGGTCAGCACTTAGCAGTTTCTACATGTCTTATATATATTGACACTTGCCATCTTCACAATCACTCATGAGATACTATGATTACCTTCACTTAAAGATGACAGAAGTAAGGCACAGAGAAGTTAGCTAACTTGCATAAGGTAACACAGCTAGGAAGTTGCAGACGCCGGTTCCAACTGGGGCAGTTTACACATATGAGACATAGAGATGCTTCGTAGTCTAGCACATAGTAAACTTGACATGTTATTTTTTTCTGCTCCAATTAAACTTTAGAGCTGTCTAATGCACCCATGAGCATTATAAAAGAGACTGTCAATGTTGAATGTGAGATTGACTAACACCAACCACAGACAAACGGTGTTTTTCTTCTCTTTTAGTGCTGCCTAAAAGTGGTTATAAACGGAAGACGTCCCATCAGAAAACATAATAACAACAGCCATTCGTGCACCATCAGCTCAGGGCACACTAGCCGCGAAGAGCAATTGAAAAGAATACATGCTGTAAAATCGAAGCTTAAGAGCAAAATTGGATAGGTCGAGTATAATCGCACACTTGAAATGTCGTCCCTGCTTCATCATTAGCAAAACGAATAGTGGAAGGATCTGTAATATGATTCTTAAACTTTAGGTAAACAATGGAGGTTGCTGGCATGGATGTTCCTGATAGTTCCACGGGACGTTGGCCCTATTTGTGGGGAGATTGGGGTTGGAACTGACTTGGGAGAAGAGCAAAGCATCAACACGTCCTCCAGCAGCACCCTGGGCGTGTTCCCTTTCCAGTACTGGCCTGTTTGCCTGGCTCCCAGACTACACAAGAAACCGGTCAAACCAACAGGCACTGACCGGCCGTAGCGGCAGCACCGCATAGATTGTCTTTGATTTAGACTCATTCGAGAACCTGCGTGTAATTTCTAGCCTTGGCAGTTAGGAGATGCGTACTTTCCCTTATGGCGTGTTTATCACACCTCCAAAGAAAATGACTTTTACATATAATTTCACCGGGTCTGATATCACCGAGACAAGGCGAGCTGAGGAAACTCGTGCGTATCTGCGGCGATCTGAGACACATCCAACCTCGAATCGAAACTTGAGTTCCCCTTTCCCTTTCCCTGTATCAAACACAGAGATACCTAAAAGCCTTCGGAGAAAGTAGCAGCCACCAAGCTTAGGAGTAATACTTTTCAGATACAGTGTAGCACTGTTTCTGCCAAGAGGTTACTCACATGAATATAGTGTTTCTTGGGCTAATTAATCCGCCTCAAGAGCAGCGAGGCTACAACTTCAGGTCACCCACCCCGGGCCACTCAAGCCGAGATCGGGACGTGAGCCCGGGGCGAGCCGAGGCGCATTCCGAGCCGAGGTCACCGAACCGAAGTTACGGGGCGCGGGCTGGTTACCGGAAGTGGTCCAGTGAAAGAGTGGTCCCAAATTCAGGGCCCCTAACTTGGAAACAAAATAAAAGAAAACCTTAACTCGGGACCCAATTTCCAAAGAGTGTCCCCTGGGCGCGAGAAGGCCGGCGGGGGCAGTGATGCCGCTGGCGGGAGGTCCCCGGAGCGTGTAGGCCGCGCAAGGCTCTTCTCGGCGGGCGGGCAAAATGGGCGCCGGCGAGCAGGAGGCGCCGGCCCGGCCGTACGCCCGTTCCTCACACACCACGTCCGCCCGCGGCCCGACAGCGCCGCCTCCCAGCCGCCCCCCGAGCCCGGCCCCACGTCCTGCCCGCGGCCGGCCACCGCCCTCCGCCCCGACGGCCACGCCTGCCTCAACCGGCGCGGGCGTTTCCCAGGTGCCGCTGGGCCGGCCCCGCCCCCGCGTCCCAAGCTCCTCCCCCGCGCGCCCGCCCGCCCGGCCCCGCGCCCCAGGCCCCGCCCCGCCCCAAGCTCCGCCCCCGCCCTCCCGCCGGCCCACCCGCACCCCAGGCCCCGCTCCCACGTCCCAAGCTCCGCCCCTGTGAGCCCGCCCGCCCGGCCCCGCGCCCCATGCCCCGCTCCACGCCCCAGGCCCAGCCCCCACGTCCCAAGCTCCGCCCCCGCGCGCCCACCCGCCCCGTCCCTCCCCCAGGCCCCGCCTCCGCGCCCCAAGCCCCGCCCCACGCCCCAAGCTCCGCCCCTAGAGCCCGCCCACTCCTCGCCCCAGGCCCTGCTCCCACGTCCCCAGCTCCACCCCCGCGCGCCCCGCCCCGCCCCGAGCCCCAGGCCCCGCTCCCCGCGGAACCCGCCCGGCTGAGCGGCGGGTTGGCCAGGCCCGAGCTGGCCGGAGGCGGACGTGAACGGGCCGGGCCAAGATGGCGGTGCAGGTGGTGCAGGCAGTGCAAGCGGTCCATCTGGAGTCGGACGCCTTCCTCGTGTGTCTCAACCACGCTCTGAGCACGGAGAAGGAAGAGGTGATGGGGCTGTGCATTGGGGAGGTAAGTCAGCCGCCCAGCTCGGCCAGGACCCTGCCGAGCGGTCCCCTCACTTCCCCGGGTGGCTGCTGGCCGCGCCCGGGGCTCTACAGGCCACAGGCCTCCTCGGCTCATCCTTGGATAGATCCTTCCCTTTGCCTCGGCTCGCTGAAAGCTTCTGGAGCCTTCCAGAAGCCCCCAGCGGTCCCCATCAAGCCTTGGGGAGCGGCGGGGGGTGGGGGGGAGGGAAGACTTACATTTTCTCCTGGGTGTGCTCAGTCCTGGCCGACTCTGCGACCCTGTGTATTGCAGCCCGCCAGGCTCTTCCGTCCGTGGCATTCTCCAGGCAAGATTACTGGAGTGGCTTGCCATTTCCTCCTCCAGGGTATCTTCCCCACCCAGGGGTCGAACCTGGGTCTCCTGCATCTCTTGCATTGGTAGGCGGGTTGTACTGTGTGGCTTTTCTTTAGATCTGGAGTTACCACCCCAGTGACCAAACCCGCGAGTCAGAACAGAAAGAATCTGTTATAATGAGGCCATCAGTGTATTAGGAAGCAGGCGTCCATGATCAGGGCCTTCACTGTCCCTCTAGGAGTCATTTTGAGGGCATCAAATAACCTAAGACAGGTGAGACTTTCCAAGACTCCCAAATTTCTGCTGCGTTAAATATTGCAGGGGGCGAAAGAGACTGAGCTTACTTGTTGACAATCCGAAGTAAGAGTTGTCCAGGCTTTCATGCTGGTGTACAGGAACCTATCACCTGATTTTCATTTTATCTGCATCGTGTACCTCTAATACGGTTAATGTGATCAATAATCTTTTCTGCTCTTTCCCACTCTAGTTAAATGATGACTTAAGGTAAGAGTCTATTTGTTTATTCCTATCTTTTGATCTCTTTGTTACTGTTAACGCCAAATTATCACAGCTTTCCCAGTATTTTGGACTGGTTGTATTCTAACTTATCATGATGACTCTGGAGCTCCCTCAATAACCCAGTTTCAATCCCACCCCACCTCTGAAAGTTGTTTTCCACCTGACTTTCTAGTTAGGAGGATTGGCAGTTGAGATATGGTTGTGAAAAATATGGTTGTGGGAACCAAGATCCTAAGTGAAAGCTCTTTGGGGCAGATGGCGTGCATGGAAAGGGGCCGTGCCCCTCAGTTAATCCATTTCTCTGTCTAAATTGTCAGTGGCTTTCTGCCTCCCCCGGTGGACCCTACAGGGATCTCCGAGATCTCCAGCTGCTTGAATGCTTTTGGCCGTGAAAGCTTTGGGTTACCTTTATTGAAACGTCAAAGCATAGCAGAATTTCTCCTTGGCAAACTCAACTGCTTAATATCCAGCGATATAGGACTTTAGCTTTGACCATGAAAACTGTGCACTTGCCACTTAAGCATGTGTCTCAGACTCCTCCTAACAGTCATGAGCACAGCTCTAGTCTCAGTTTATTTCCCTCTTCTTTCTCTGTCTCTACTGTTTCATTGCAAAAACTGCTAATCCTGTTACTTTGCTTTGAGACCTTTTTTATATTCCCAAGCTCAGTTCCTTTTTTTCTAATTTATCCCCAAAAGGAATGACCCCAAATTTACATATACTGGAACTGAAATGCGCACAGTTGCTGAAAAGGTACGTGTGCTCTCATTTTGCATGATGCAAACTTGCACTCGGGGATGGATTTCTGTCTGTCTGATGGGCTCAGCCGAGGATGAACCTCCTTTCTGCAGACCTTCATTTGTGGCTGGCGAGGGGGGGCGGTTTGTTCTCTCTAGTAAAATCAGATGAAGAATCTCCTCACTAGGAATAGGACCTACTCTTCGCAGTGAATTTTTCCTACTCCATCGAAATGAGTAGCTGCCATCAGCTCTCCTCCTCGCTGGCCTCTGCTGGGTTTGTGGCCCTTCTCCCATCTTCCTTGAGACTTTGGCTGGTTCGCATCCTGTTATCTTTTTATCCCAAGTCCCAACAGTCACTCAGGCAACCCCTCTCTGGTTACAGGCAACCTGTCTACACTCCTGCCCCACCTTTTCTGTTATTCTCCAGTTTTTGTGGTCGAGTATCATGCTTCTCAACTTAATTGTGCTCTTCAGTTCAGTTCAGTTGCTCAGTCATGTCCGACTCTTTGTGACCCCATGAACTGTAGCACACCAGGCCTCCCTGTCCATCACCAACTCCCAGAGTCTACCCAAACTCATGTCCATTGAGTCAGTGATGCCATCCAACCATCTCATCCTCTGTCGTCCCCTTCTTCTCCTGCCCTCAATCTTTCCTAGCATCAGGGTCTTTTCAAATGAGTCAGCTCTTCTCATCAGGTGGCCAAAGTATTGGAGTTTCAGCTTCAACATCAGTCCTTCCAGTGAACACCCAGGACTGATCTCCTTTAGCTCTAGGACCAGTTAATTTTTCCCCTAGTGTATCACAGACCGACGCTTCTGTAAAATACAATAAAAGTGAATTCTGTTCTCCCATGAAGCAGATGATGAAGGTGATAAAAGCTGTCAGGCAACAACTCCATCTAATTATTACCCGCACATACAATCCTCTCCATGTTAAACCACTTTGCCTTTCTTCTTCCCATAATTAGGAAAGACATCTACTCCTGTCTAAAGCTGTAGCTTCTTCTGAGACCTTGCCTCTCAAATATCCTTTCTCTCTTTTGAGTCTTCAACCTATTCTTGTGATCTGGCTTTATTCTTGTGATCTGGCTTTTTTCCCTTAGAATATAGCTATGCTTCAATTACTGTATTTTTCAGAAAGGAAGGAAAAATAATATCTCAATTCTGTCTGTTCCTGTAGTTAACTGCTCTTGTGTCCTTGCTTTAATAGCTGTGTCTACCTGTTCCTTCCTTCTCTCCCTCTCATCATTTATGGACTTTTCCTCCTCTGCCTCAAATATGGTAGTCTCCTAGTTTCTGCCTTCACCTCTTCCCAGAATGTCTTCTTGGCCAATATGAACTTCCCTGTGGCTTTACCTGCAGCAGACATTGAGGTTAGACAGATATGTCTGCAAACACTTTCTCTGATACTTATGGTGTGACTTTGGGCATGTGACTTCACATCTGTGAGCTTTGCTTTCCTTATCTCTAAAACAGGGATAATGATAGCCGCCAGCTTCCTAGAATTGTTGAGAGAGTTGGATCTGCATAATGTGTGTAAAGCATCATCTGCAGAGTGGGCATTCCAGTAGTACCAACCTCCCTGGGTCATGGGGAGAGTTCAATTAAGTTAATACATGAAAAGCACTTTTCCAAATGCCCGACACGTGGCAGGTAGCCAGTAAATGTTGGCCATTCTGCCTGGTTGCTAATGCTTGGTAGATGCTAGTTAGTATAAATTACCCCATGCTCTAGAACTTCATACTCCACTGCCTTCTGGACATCCATGTTTAGTGTTCAAAACTTTCCTCTTTCCCAAACTCTCTTCTCCAACATTCCTCCTGCCATAGTAGTTCCCAAACGTAGCCGCATTTTGGAATCGCCCAATAGTCGCTACAGAATCCCGATTCCGACTCGGTTTTTGGTGAGACCTGTGTGGCGGCAGTCTGCAAAGCTCCCCAGGTGATTCTCACGTGCAGCCATGTTTGGGAACCATGGTGTCTCCATGGTCTCCTTGCCGGGAGTCTGTCCTGCCTGTAGGCTTTTCTTGTGACTGCTTATGATGTGATCTTTTGAGAACAGCACTCTGCTACAAGTTTGCTGAAAAGGCAGTGGGTTTTCTATTTTTTTTTTCTTTTTAGGATGAAGTCTTCTTAGTGAAGAAGTCAGGATCTTTCCTGACCTCATATCTGTTTCTCTCCGTACATGTCTCTAGGTGGGTCCGAGTTCTAACCATGGCAAATGATGTCAGTTTCCAGCTGATGCTGTGCTGTTTCACTTTTTCTGTCTGCTGGGTATTATGTCTGGGCTGCTTGCTTATCCTTCTCTGTTTGGCTGACTCCCTTTCCCTTGTGGTTCAGTGCAGATGCCTTAAAGGAACCTGCCCTGACCTGTAGCATATCGATTAGGGTACATCAGGGATGTTGTCTTCGAGCTGTCAACCTGTCTGTCTTTCCAGATGTAACTACTGTATCCTGTTTATCTTTGTATACTTTAACCCTCATGCAGTGCCTCACATATCGTACAGACTTGATAAACACATTTTGTTTGAATTAGCATACCTCCCCTGCAGTAGGAAATTAGGGTTACCTGCCCAGGATCCCTGGAGCGCCATGCTAGGGGGTGCAAACTTGCTGGAAAGGGCCAGATGGTAAATATGTTTAGCACTGGGGGCCATACAGTTTCTACTGTAGTTCCTCAGCTCTGCCAGCATGGTGCAGAAGCATCTACTGGAAGATAAATGAATGAACATGGCCAGAATTGGCCCGAGGGAGACCAGGCCAGCCATAGTTTGCTGACCTTTGATCTGTACCAAGGCAGAAGCGCAAAAGGAATTGGAAAAGGGTAGGGGCTGATCTAGTCCAGCTGGAATATCTTCTTCCCTGTGTGACTATGACCATAACAGTCTGTTCCTCAATCCCTTCAGCTCTCTGTGACTTTTGGGGACATCTGTCAGTCCTCTGTGACCTCTGTGCTTTTTTTTATTTTCTTTTTGAGACCTGAGCTGGTCTCACCACCGTATCCTAAACTTCTTTTTTTCATTCCTCTTAGGCACTAAACCTTTCTCTGAGTAGAGAAAGAAAATTCACCCTGGGCAGCAACTCCTGTTAAAATAGTTTAATGATGTAATTTGATTTTTTCGGAGTCCATGTCCTCATCTTGAATTCTCTGTCAGTTTGTACCATGCACATTCGATACGAAACTTCATGAGTTGAGCAACTTTATCTGTCTGGTTAATGTTGGCATGGAATATCTTTTTCCATCCTTTTATTTTTAGCCTTTCTGTGTACTAATATTTGAAAGTGTGTCTCTTATTGGCAGCCTGTAGTTTTTAAAAAAATCTATAGTCTGATAATCATTTGAATTGGACTGTTTAGTCCAAATACATTTAATGTAATTATATATATAACATGCACACCACACAGATCTATAAATATATATGTTATAACTGTCATATTTTTGCTTTCTATTTGACCTTTTTTTTCTTTTTCTCTCCTTCCTTGCCTTCTTTTGGATTCATCAGTATATTATTTCCCTGTGATCCTCCATTAATTAGATATAAAATTTTTTACTCTTTTTGTAGTTATTATCCTACATATTGCAATAGGCATTCTTGATTTGTTAGTCTAACACAAGTTACTGTTTTTAATATTTCCCTGATAACAGTAGAGCTTTGAACATTGAAATTTCATTTCCATCCTCCCACCTTTTGGATTACTATTTGCATGGATTTTAGTGACATGCTATTTTAAGCCCCACATGACATTGTCATGCTGTTCTGTACAGTTAGCTGTATTTGTATTTACTCATATTTTACGCTTTATGGTGTTCCTCACTTTGTCATACCTGAGATTTTCCTTTCTCTTTTTAGTGTTTCTGGGCTGATAATGATCTCTCGGTTTTTTTGCACATGAAAATGTCACCCATTCTCTTTATGCTTGGTTGTTTCTGTTTCAAAGTCAGCTCTTGCCTTGTAGCTCCCTGGAAGGTCGAATTTCTTTCTGTCTCTACTTTTGATTTTCTTTTCTTTTTTGTGTTAAAGGTAACATTGATTTATTTGGCTGCACTGGGTCTTAGTTGTGACATGTGAGGTCTTTAGTTGCAGCATGTGGTATCTGGTTCCACGACTTGGGATTGAACCCAGGCCCCCTGCATTGGGAGTGCAAAGTCTTATTCCCTGACCACCAGGGAAATTCCCTAATTTTCTTTATTGTATCCTCTGTGCCTGCCAGATACTGTATGGTGGCTGGGGTTAGAAAATAACTAAAACATGTTGCTTGCCCTTAAGGAGCTTGTGTTCTAGTAGTTATTGTTGTTCATTTGCTAAGTTGTGTCCAACTCTTTGTGATCCCATGGACTGCAGAAGGCCAGGCTCTTCTGTCCTCCACTATCTCCCAGCATTTGCTCAAATTCATGTCTCTTGAAGCTCCAATATTCTGGCCACCTGATGCAAAGAGCTGACTCATTGGAAAAGACCCTGATGCTGGGAAAGATGGAAGGTGGGAGAAGGGGACGATAAAGGATGAGATGTTCTGGTACTTGAGCTTAGTCACTCAGTCATGTCCAGCTCTTTGCAACCCCATGGACTGCAGCATGCAAGGCTTCCCTGTCCATCACCAACTCCCAGAGTTTACTCAAACTCGTGTCCATTGAGTCAGTGATGTCATCCAACCATCTCATCCTCTGTCGTCCCCTTCTCCTCCTGCCCCCAATCCCTCCCAGCATCAGGGTCTTTTCCAATGAGTCAGCTCTTCGTTTCAGGTGGCCAAAGTACTGGAGTTTCAGCTTCAACATCAGTCCCTCCAATGAATATTCAGGACTGATTTCCTTTAGGATAGACTGGTTGGATCTCCTTGCAGTCAAGAGTCTTCTCCAACACCACAGGTCAATAGCATTCATTCTTCATCGCTTAGCCTTCTTTATGGTCCAACTCTGTTAGAGGAGGAGATTGTCAACAAATAGACATGTGTAAGCTCTAGCAGATATGTGTGTGTAATAAGTGAAGTTGTGTGGGAGGGAAGAAGGACTCATACTTTATAGGATGAGCAGGTAATTTAAAATCTATGAAAGAGTTCATGAGGTGAAAAAAAAGGCTTGAAAAGGAACCACAGGTGAAGCACAGTAGCCGCATGTGCCTCATGGCTGCTTTGCTGCACAGTATAGGGTCTATCACTTACTTCAAATGTCTCATATTTCAGCCTCGTCCTTGTAATTTCTGGCAATTCCATACCAACCTGTTCTCCTGAAACTCTTCAACCATTTTATTGTTCTGCTTTTGACCCCTCTGTCTCCCTTCCTCGTTCCTCTTACTGTACCCCATCCTAAACCATGGGTGCACCCCTGGATTCACCCTGGACCTCTGTTCCCTGTCCTCACACAATTCCTTGCCTTGATTTCCAGGCTCTCATCTGAGTTCAGCTCATCTGAAAACACTCTCATCTTCCCTCTCCTAGACCCTTTCTAAGCTTTGATCTGCCTCCTCTGTTCTGAGTTTCAACCTTGACAGTTTCCTGGCCTGTATCACTTACGTTGCATAAGCTCCGAAATCTTGCAGATTCTTAATGATTTTCCAGTCTGTTTCTTCCATCTTGGACATACACACAAACTGGTACTTCATGGTCAAGCGATCTGAAATAGTCTCCTTCCTTGGACGTCATCCTGCAGACCACGGCTTGCTTCCGAGACCTTGAATATTTCCACTCTAACATTTCTCAGCCTGTCTGCCATTCCACCTCGAGTTCTTGATTTCAGTCAGTTGGCTGGTTTGTCTCCCAAATATCTTACTGATGTCAATTTGGAATCTATGGAAATTCTGTCTATCTGTGCACATACACACAACAATTAGGAGATAAGATACACTCGGCTGCCTTTTCTGGAAAGCTTTCTTTCTTTTTTTTTTCTTTCAAAATAAGTGACTTGTTTCCCCTGAGCTTCTATAGCATTTATTTACTGCATTATTTTAATGTAGTTTCACATATGATTCTTGCTGTGCAACTGCATGTTAGGTGGTTGGCGCTCAGCGTTGTATTTTTGCACATAGTTGGAAATCAAATGATTATTACTTGATTGTTGCAAAGTCCTCCCTTGATGTAAATCTCACATTTTGTTTGGAAATGTATATATTGAGTTTGGATATATTTGAAACATTCCATCATGCATGAGAAAAATCCCAAGTTTTCTAAGATGTCAACTTTTTAACCTGATAGTGTAATATGATGTGTCCTCTAATTGCAGGAGGAGATAATTATTGGAGAGAGACAGAAGTAAACATTTCTGTGGATTTTCCTGTAGGTTGACACCGTCAGAATTGTTCACATTCATTCTGTCATCATCCTGCGACGTTCCGATAAGAGGAAGGATCGCGTGGAAATTTCTCCAGAGCAGCTGTCTGCGGCCTCAACAGAGGCAGAGATATCCTTACTGGTCGATGAGAAGCGTTTATGTGCTCTGAGGCTTCCAGGTTCCTCTGTTTGCTCCTTTTCTGCTTGGTGACTGTTTCTCAGTTCTCATATTTACCCCTTAGATCCAGTTGCTTGGTTAAGTGATCAGATGGGGCATTTGCTTCCCATGATTCTGGTTTCCATAGGTCAACCATAACAAATCAAATTTGCATCAATGGTTTTAGTAATTTATCATTCCTTTGGAATAAGTTAATCTTCTAGTCAATTGAAAAGTAACTTTGAAAACTAGAAAACATGCATGGTAGAAACTTTTGAAAGGTACAGTAGTGTGTACAAAATAAGTACTTCTCTCCAGTTTCCATGCCCTAGTTCCCCAACCATTCCTCCCTGGACATAACCAGGACTATCACGTCTTCATGTAACTTTATGGTTGAATTATTTGCATATAGAAACATATAAGAATGTTTTCTTTTTTACAGAGTTTTGAATACATATGGTAGCTGTAATGGTACATAACTGTACCTAGAGAATTGTCCACTGATACAGAGATACCTCACTCTTAAGCCTGCATAACACAGCCCTTGATGGTTGGGCTGACCTCATGCAGATGTTGAGGTTATTTTCAGTCTTTTACTGATGGTAGTGCAGTACAAGCATGGAGCCCTAACCACCAGACCACCAGGGAATTCCCTAAAAAGCTGTCTTAGACTTAGTTGTGTAGACAGGTCTGTTGGGTTTCAATGTAAGTCATTTTCAGGAAAATGAACCAGCAACAGAATGGGACAGCTTTTTCTCTTCAGCTGAGTTCTTATCTCAAGTTAGAGCCTCAGATAGTTATGGCGCATGGGCTTAGTTGCTCAATGGCATATGTGATCTTCCCAGATCAGTGATCAATTCTGCGTCCTCTGCACTGGCAGCCAGATTCTTTACCACTGAGCCACCAAGGAAGCCCCCACATGACTTTTTCAAAATTTTGCACTTCTTAAGAGGATGAGGATAGGTTGGACCAGAGAGAGAATAGAGGATTACTCAAGTTAATCATGTGACATCCAAATACTAACTAAACTGGATTAAGAGGCTATAACTGTATCCAAGAATGGAAACCATTCTGCTTTTTTTTTTTAAAAGAAAAACCTTTGTCTTTAGATGGAAAGTGTGGGAAATTTTGGCATTGACCTTTGACCTTTTTAGACTTTTGTTGACATTAAATTGTAACGGGTTTATTTGAAACTTTAAGATGCTCTCTGAGCCCTTATTAGCATCACAGATTTTGTTTCCACAAGTTGAAAATACCTTGACAGACACACAGGTTGGCTGAACTGACGGGTCGCCCCATGAGAGTTGTGGGTTGGTATCACTCTCATCCCCATATAACTGTTTGGCCTTCACATGTTGGTAAGTACTCTAGGGTTGCAATGTTTATTGTTTTTAGAAATGAATATAATTTTTCCTTCTCTGCTATGCGGCTTATGGTTTCTCCAGGGGATCTTCCTGACCCAGGGATTGAACCCTGGTCTCCAGCATTACAGGCAGACTCTTTACCATCCAAGCCACCAGGGAAGTCCTCTCTTTAAGCAGATGTCCTTATTTTCATTTTACGGTTTTAAAAGTACTGATTTATGTCATACTGATTTGTTGTTCACAGAGCTAAAATTTCAGCGCTCCATTTTGACACTGTTCAGGAAATCAGGACTAAAACCTGACAACTGGCTGATATCCAAATAGAGTCTTATTGCTAATAATAAATAAACTGTAGCTGAAAATTGCCGAATGTGCCTGTCTGGTACACTCCCATTTGGAAGAATCAAAGATGTGAAGGGGGACATTTACAAACTTGATGTTTACTTTTTCTCTTTGACATATATATCATCCTATCTCTTGGTGCTCTGAAGCTGCCTTATCACCCCTCTAATTAGTATAATTTAACAAAATTGTTTTCTCTCCTTTGATTTTTATCCCTTTTCTCTAATCGTGGTCATCTTTTTGTCTGTACCTGACTCTTTGGAAAGACGTAGAATAACTTGACTTGCAGAAATGAATGTTTTCTCCTCTACCCTGTGAGTTAGAGTTCTCCCCCCTCACGTCAGTGAGGAGTTAGAAGAGCTGAGGTTTGAACCAGATCTGTCTCCTAGGTCTGTAGTCTCTCCACTGTGAGGTTTTCATCCTAGCCATAGTCATCAGTGGATTAGAACACTTCTGTGTTCATCTACCCTGTGACATGAATTCCCCCAAATTAGGAGTCATGGTTCTTCATGTGGTGAAGGCTACCTCTCAGTCACCTGGGAGAGCTTTTCTAAAATGTACCTGCTCTCAATTCATCTTTCCTCACCCTGTCTGTTATTGCCACAATTCCAGGGAGTGGATTGAAACACTTTGTTTGATGGAAGAGAAAAAGTTGGAAGCTGGAACCTGTGGCAACAAGAATAGTGGTATTTTTAACTTTGATTTTGACATAATTTCAGACTTGAAGTTGATAAAATAGTACACAGAATTCCTGAATACTCTTCCTCCAGATTTGCCAAATGTTAGCATTTCAAAACATTTGCTATATAACTCTGTCTACATACATGTATGTATATGCATGTGTGTGTGAGAGTAAGTTGCAGACCCTAATCCCCCTTTACTCCTAAGTACTCTTTTGGTGTGACTCTCTTAAATACAAAGAATTCTCTTATATAGTCACAGTGTGCATTTATAAAAATTGATAAATTTATATTGATATCCTACAATTATTGAAATTACTGGCATCATTCTAATTTTTTTGTTGGCTCATCGAACTGAGCACCTGGAATTTGCTGCATACTGGCAACTGTTATAGTATTTGCAACTATTTACATTGTATTAGGTATTATATTAGAAGGAAATAGCAACCCACTCCAGTATTCTTGCCTGGAGAATCCCAGGGACAAAGAATCCTTGTGGGCTGCCGTCTGTGGGGTGGCACAGAGTCAGACACGACTGAAGCGACTTAGCAGCAGTAGCAGCAGGTATTATATTAATAATAGATGATTTAAAGTATATGGGAAGATGTGCCTAGGTTATATGCAAATATTGTACCATTTTATTGAAGAGACTTGAGCCTCTGCAGATTTTGGTATCTGCCCTGGGAGTTAAGTGTCCTGAAACAAATCCCTGCAAATACTGAGGGATGACTCTATATGACATTTTTTCCTATGTTTATTACAATACTGAAAAAAGATGCCACAGTATTCATCAGCAAAGCTCTTTTAAGGACAAAGAGGGAGTACAATTGAATATCTAAAGTTGCAGAGCAGACACCATTTGAATGATTAACAAGAAGAATCCATTAGGTCTCTCAGCTGCCATCTCAAGAGGATTTGTGGTGGTCGAACTATGAGAAGTAAAGAAAAAAGGATCTCCCAGATAAATTGCTGCATACAGCTTATCTCCAAACAGCCATTTCAGAATTGAGTCAAACAGTGGCCCTGTATTAGCAGGCCTTGGAAAAAAATGAGTGATGAATTTTAAAAAAAGGTTGATTTAAAGTATGTACAGTACATACATTTCATAGGGAAAGAACCCCTAGCTATGTTAATGAATGAAAAGAGTAAATGACATTTTTTTTTCCATTCAAGAAAAGGAAGAGAGAGAGAAGGCTGTGAGAATGGGGTGTGTATATGTGTAACAAGAATTGTAATGCTGTCATGCCTACTCCTCACCCCACTGTAGTCTGGCTCCTAGCCTATTACTGTTGAAGTGGATCATGCCAAAGTCACCAGAGACATCCACGTTGAAAATCTAGGAAACATTCTAAGTCTCCACATTATGTAGCATGTGACTCTACAACCACTCTCTACTTCTTGAAACACTTTTCAGATAATCATGAGGGCTGTGTGGCTCTTAAGGGAAGAAACTAAGCCCAGGCTCAGAGCTGAAAGGCCTCATCCCAGACAAGACAGCTACTAAGTAGCAGAGTCAGTATCTGAATAGAGGTTTCTGTGAATTGGGGGCCTCTGATTACCCAGGGTCTGCTTTGTCCCATCAAGTGGGAATGCTATTTATGAAAACGGGAAATGGAAGAGGAAGCTTAAGTTTGGTGGTGAGGAAAGAGACAGTTGAGTGACATCATACCTGTGCAACTAACTTCCCCAAATTTTACCTAAAGGGCATGGTTTCCAAGGGGCTTCCCTGGTGGCTCAGCTGGTAAAGAATCTGCCTGCCATGCAGAAGACCTGGGTTTGATCCCTGGGTTATTCCCCTGGAGAAGGGAAAGGCTACCCACTCCAGTGTTCTGGCCTGGAGAATTCCATGGACTGTATAGTCGATGGGGTCGCAAAGAGTTGGACACGACTGAGCAACTTTCACTTACTTACTCATGGTTTCCAGAAGAAAAAGACAAGCAATTGAAATAGCGCAGCCTAAATCGTAAATTGAAGAAGGCAATAGCAACCCACTCCAGTACTCTTGCCTAGAAAATCCCATGGACAGAGGAGCCTGGTAGGCTGCAGTCCATGGGGTCGCTAAGAGTTGGACACAACTGAACGACTTCACTTTCACTTTTCACTTTCCTGCATTGGAGAAGGAAATGGCAACCTACTCCAGTGTTCTTGCCTGGAGAATCCCAGCCTGGTGGGCTGTCTATGGGATCGCACAGAGCCGGACACGACTGAAGCGACTTAGCAGCAGCAGCAGTAGCATATCGTAAATTGCGCGAGACTTGGCACTATTTTTAAGTCACTCTTACATTCACTTTCCCGTCTTTGGAAGTGCACAGTAAGAGGACAAATGTGACTGTAGGTATGTTCTTATTTTTGATACCTACTCAGTCGTTTTGTAAGAAATGAAACACTGTTAGAATGATGTCATTGTTAGTTAATTTATCACCAAAGTTGCTGGATCCCATCAACCTACCATGACAAATATAGGCTGTGGTTTTAATTAAGCAGTTTTCTATAACCAGTCATTTAAAACATTTACATTTTGCCGGTACCAGCCGGCAATGTGAACAGGTCCCGACCGCAGCAGCATGGAAGCCTGAGGAAAAGAAGCTGAAAGTAAAGGATGGGGTCGAGAGGGCTGAATGCTCTTTAGGCAAGTCAGCGATTTTATTGAGTAAAGCAGCTACCTTTATACTAGTACAAGCAGAAAACATAGTTCATAAAAAATGCCATCTGGTGTTTGTCACATCACTACAATTCTTTGTCTTAAGTGATTGTAGAAGCTTGCATCTTGTTTTTGGCATTCCAAGATAAACTACTAAGTGAAGGTCACTATTACGTTTTTCTCAAGGAAGAACAAAGGAGACCCAGCAAATGTTTTACTACTTTATCATGGGGTGGCGGGACAGGGAATAGCCTCTTTCAAGGCTTTCCCAGGGCCTTTTCGGGCCTTGAGCAGGCCGGCTCCCCGCAACATTTTCCTAAACAAACATTCTCTTCTAGAAATTACAAGTCAATACTCCTCAGAATCATCAATTTTTTTTTTTGTTGGATATTACATTTCCGTGCTCTTCTTAGCAAACCGACTAAGATGGAAACTCCGTTAGGACAAGAGCCAGAGTTAAGTGAAGGCAGAACCAAAATTTTACTATAATGGGATGGCTAACTCAGGGCTTGTATTATAAAGACAAATTGTGCATATCATCTCTCGTCTTCTGTCATTTACTCTCAACTTGCCTGAAACAGAGACCACAGGCCCCAGAATAAAGGTTTTTAAGAGAATGAGAGATTATATATGTGATTGTTGCACACCAGGAAATGGGAAGTGGGCATTCTTTTGTGCCTTGAGACCATCTGAGGCTGAAAGAAAAACTGGACAACACAGTTGCAGGAAGTTCTCGTAGGCCTCCATCCTTTAGACTAAAGTATATCTTTTGGGTTTGGCCTTTTGGTTGTAACTGACAAGGAATTAAGGTATCTGATGAAAAGACGTACATCAAGGTAAAGGGCAAAGAGTTTCTATATTTTAAGGTGCATGGTTAGACCTCATGGAGGAAGTAACGGGGGATCCAAAACTTGCAGGAAGTGAGAATGACCGTGCAAATATCTTGGGGAAGAGCATTCCAGGCAGAGAGGAATAGTCACTGCACAGGCCCCGAGGATGAGCATGGCTGGAATATATGATGAAAAGCAGAAACGCCAGTGTGGCTGGAGCTGAGTGATCAAGGGGGACACTGGTGGGAAGTGAGGGCGGGGAGGTGATGGTGGGGACCCTGTGAAAGGTTGCTGCCACAAGCCGTGACTTACGCCAGGATGCGTGGCCCCCAGACCAGAGGAAATTGATCCAGGGCCAGTGATGAGGCTTGATCACTCAGAGCTTTTTGTGTATAATACAGTGTTATTAAAGTCTAAAAGAGATGGAGAAAGCTTCTGACACAGACATCAGAAGGGGGCAGAAAGAGTGCCTCCTCACTACTTTAAGCAAGGAGTTATATATCTATTTTCCAGTAGTCATGTATGGATGTGATAGCTGGACTATAAAGAAAACTGAGCACCGAAGAATTGATGCTTTTGAACTGTGTTGTTGGAGAAGACTCTTGAGAGTTCCTTGGACTGCAAGGAGATCCAACCAGTCCATCCTAAAGGAGATCAGTCCTGAATGTTCGTTGGAAGGACTGATGTTGAAGCTGAAATGCCAATACTTTGGCCATCTGATGTGAAGAACTGACTCATTGGAAAAGACCCTGATACTGGGAAAGATTGAGGGCAGGAGGAGAAGGGGACGACAGAGGATGAGATGGCTGGATGGCATCACTGACTCAATGGACATGAGTTTGGGTAACCTCTGGGAGTTGGTGATGGACAGGGAGGCCTGGCGTGCTGCAGTTCATGGGGTCGCAAAGTCAGACACGACTGAGCAACTGAATGGAACTGAACTACATACCTATGAACAAGCAAGTTGCTAATCAGAGAAAGGAAACCAAAACAAAGCGGCACCAGGCCCCTCACCCACAACATGGTTCTTGAGATCTCACTGATGAAGGGTGATTTATCCCCGGGCCGTAAAACAATTGCCAAGAATCTTGAAGACAGGCTGATCTCCAAGCCAATACATAGTTCCTTATGATGGCTTCAGAAAGACACTTCCGTGAGAAAAATGCATTGGTGAGCTCAAAGTTCAAGATGGAGTTAAGTTTAGGCAGAACCAGGCATTGCCATGACAATGCAAGATGAGAAGTTTGTTTCCTCCTGCCATTTGGGGACCTCTGGTCTCTCTACTGAGGCCATGAACACTCTCACCTGGAAGGATAGAGTTGCTGCTGATTGAGAAGGGGATGCATTTGGAATAGCAGATCCTGTGGAGGAAATCCAGTCTGTGCTTTTGGACATGTTGAGTTGCATATATGTGGTAGGCAAGTTATGTGCACCTAGTCTGGCTTTAGGCCCATAAATCATCTTATGTCAGGAGTTCCCTTTTTATTTAGGAAGATGGTAGGTAGAAGTCCCGATCCAGATAAAAAGGTATAAATGCAAAGTATCTTTAAGAACATCTAAAACAAGGGAAATGGGCATAAGGCACCAGATGAAACCATGCTTTCTGCACCGTTTTGCTGGATCTTTTGTATCCATAAATAGTGGTCTGAAGGCTTCAGACCTTTCAACTTGGCATCTGTTCAGTGTTTGGTAGTTTTAATCCTTTCAAACGTTATTTGGTGTTTATGATTTCCTTTAAAAAAATTGCATAACTATTTAGTGAGATTTTGTTTCTATTCCCTGGAATGTAGTGTTTAATTCTACTATAGTCACTTTTTTTTTAGAAAAAAAAAACAAACTTTTTTATTTTGTATTGAAGTATAGGCAGTTAACATACAATGGTGTGATAGTTTCAGGTGGACCACAAAGGGACTCAGCCATACATATACATGTATCCATTCTCCCTCAAAGCCCCCTCACATCCAGGCTGCCACATGACATGGAGCAGATCCATGTGCTATACAGTAGGTCCTTGTTAGTTATCCATTTTAAATACAGCAGTGTGGACATGGCCATCCCAAAGTCCTTAACTATCCCTTCCCTCTGTCCTTTGCCCTGGAAACTATAAGTTTGTTCTCTAAGTCTGTGAGTCTGTTTCTTTTCTTTTTGTTTAACTTTTTATTTTTTATTGGGGTATAGCTGATTATACCATCAGTTCAGTTCAGTTCAGTTCAGTTCAGTCACTCAGTCATGAACAACACTTTGCGATCCCATGGACCGCAGCACTCCAGGCCTCCCTGTCCATCACCAACTCCCGGAGGTTACTCAAACTTCTGTCCATTGAATCAGTGATGCCATCCAACCATCTCATCCTCTGTCGTGCCCTTCTTTTCCCGCCTTCAATCTTTCCCAGCATCAGTGTCTTTTCAAATGAATCAGCTCTTCACATCAGGTGGCCAAAGTACTGGAATTTCAGCTTCAGCATCAGTCCTTCCAATGAACACCCAGGACTGATCTCCTTTAGGATGGACTGGTTGGATCTCCTTGCAGTCCAAGGAACTCTCAAGAGTCTTCTCCAACACCACAGTTCAAAAGCATCCATTCTTTGGTGCTCAGCTTTCTTCATAGTCCAACTCTCACATCCATACATGACCACTGGAAAAACCATAGCCCTGACTAGACGGACCTTTGTTGGCAAAGCAATGGCTCTGCTTCTTAATATGCTGTCTAGATTGGTCATAGCTTTCCTTCCAAGCAGTAAGTGTGTTAATTTCATGGCTGCAGTCACCATCTGCAGTGATTTTGGAGACCCCCAAAGTAAAGTTTGTCACTGTTTCCATTGTTTCTCCATCTATTTGCTATGAAGTGATGGGACCAGATGCCATGATCTTAGTTTTCTGAATGTTGAGCTTTAAGCCAGCTTTTTCAGTCTCCTTTTTCACTTTCATCAAGAGGCTCTTTAGTTCTTCTTCACTTTCTGCCGTAAGGGTGGTGTCATCTGCATATCTGAGGTTATCGATATTTCTCCCAGCAATCTTGATTCCAGCTTGTGCTTCATCCACCCCAGCGTTTCTCATGATGTACTCTGCATGTAAGTTAAATAAGCAGGGTGACAATATACAGTCTTGATGTACTCCTTTCCCGATTTGGAGCCATATACCAATTTGGAACCATTATACCATAGGCTGATAATATAGGTGATCATACCATATGGGAAGGTCATAGCCTTGACTATATGGACCTTTGTCAGCAGAATAATGTCTCTGCTTTTCAACTCACTGTCTAGGTTTGTTGCCAAGAAACAGGTGTCTTTGATTTCATGGCTGCAGTCACCATCCCCTTCTGTTTGCCATGCAGTAATGGGGCTGGAGAAGGCGATGGCAACCCACTCCAGTACTCTTGCCTGGAAAATCCCATGAACAGAGGAGCCTGGTAGGCTGCAGTCCATGGGGTCGCTAAGAGTTGGACACGACTAAAGTGACTTAGCAGCAGCAGCAGCAGCAATAGGGCTATATGCCAGGAACTTAGTGTGATATTTAGCTTTAAGTCAACTCTTTCACTCTCCTTTCACCCTTATCAAGGGGACCTTTAGTTCCTCTTTGCTTTCTACCATTAGAGTGGTATCATCCACATATCTAAGGTTGTTGATCTTTCTCCCGTCTGTCTTGATTCCAGCTTGTAACTCATTCAGCCTGGCATTTCTCATGATGTGCTCTGCATATAGGTTAAACAAACAGCGTGACAGCAGACAACCCTGTCGTACGTCCTTCTCAATCTTGAACCAGTCAGTTGTCCCATACAGGATTCTAAATGTTGCTTCTTGACCCTCATACAGGTTTCTTGGGAGACAGGTAAGATGGTCTAATATTCCCGTCTCTCTAAGAGCTTTCCACAGTTTATTATGATCCACACAGTCAAAGACTTTGGTGTAGTTGATGAAACAGAGGTAGATGTTTTTTTGGAATTCCCTTGCTTTCTGTATAATCCAGCGAATGCTGGCAATTTAATCTCTGGTTCCTCTGCCTTTTCTAAATCCAGCTTGAACATCTGGAAGTTCATGGTTCACGTATTGTTGAAGCCTAGCATGCAAGATTTTAAGCATGACCTTACTAGCATGGGAGATGAGTGTGGTTGTCTGATGGTTAGCATATTCTTTAGTAGTACCCTTCTTGGGAATTGGGATGGGGACTGATGCTGAATTTGGTCACCCGATGCGAACAGCTGACTCATTGGAAAAGTCCCTGAGGCTGGGAAAGATTAAGATGAGATGGCTGGATAGCATTGCTGACGCAATGGACATGAACTTGGGCAAACCTTGAGAGGTGGTGAGGGACAGAGAGCTTGGCATGCTTCAGTCAATGGGTTCACAAAGAGTCGGACATGAATGGGTGACTGAACACCTGCAACAATAGCTGATTCACAATGTTGTGACAGTTTCAGTTGGACAGCAGAGGGACTCAGCCATCCATATACATGTATCCATTCTCCCCCAAACTCCCCTCCCATCCAGGCTGCTACAGAACATTGAACAGAATTCCCTGTGCTATAGAGTAGGTCCTTGTTGGTTATCCATTTAAAATATAGCAGTCACTTCTGTACAATGGTTTCCTAGGTAATAGTTCGACACTGCCATTCTTTAATATCAGGTCTAATATATTCACTTCTTTAGAAGCTGTCCATCAAAAGTTTATTCTCAGAAATCTTTTTTTGTCTCCTTTCCGTGCCTTTTTATTTTCTTTTGGAGTCCTCCTGCAAGAAATTATCAAGTGTTTTGGGGCTAACAGAAGTTTTCCATCTTCTTTCTACACTGTTTCATAGCAGGGCTAGTCATGGGCTAGGCATCCTAGAATCATTAGTACATTTTATTATTTAACTGCCATAGTATTTCCCTAACGAAGGAAAAAGCTTATACTTTGACAAGAGTATTGTCATTCCAATATATCCCCATTGTCCTTTTAGAATCTGAATCCTGGGTATTTTCACATCTGGGAGATAGAGTTCACTGACAGTGGATTTTTATCTTTGTTTCTTTGCAGATGTCCGCACACAAGCCATGTACCAGATGATGGATCAAGGCTTTGTAGGACTTATATTTTCCTGCTTCATAGAAGATAAAAATACAAAGGTATTGTGTGTGCGTGTCTCTCTGTGGATGTGGGCATGTACGCATGTGCAGGTATAAACACACGCACAGAATAGAGAAAGATCTTTGGGAATTTGCATAGTGTGTCCAGGGAAGGTTTCAATGAGCAGGGCCATTGAGTCAGGACCTGAAGTGAGGGAGCAAATCTTGAGGATTCCTTGGGGGAAGAGCATTCCAGGCAGGGGAAAGAGCCAGTGAAAAGACCCTGCGGTGAGCATGGCATGTTTGGGGGGACATCGAGGAAGTCAGTGTGGCTGCAACACAACCCTCTGTCCCAGCTTGCCTCCATTAGTCCCAGTTTCACCCCACTGCCCCCAATCTCCTATTCAGGCCACACCTTTACTTCTTGGAAGTATCTTGGTTTGGATGATAACTCGTGTGCTCATCCACCAATGACGTCTGGGGTGGGGGGTGCTGGTGGGGACACAGGGAAGGAGGGGGTGCAGAATCCATGACTTCCATGAAACCAGTTAAGGAGAAACTTCAGTAACTGGGGAAGAGATAATGGATATTTGACTACAGCAGTAGGAGTGGAGTCAATGAGAAGTGGCCAGATTCTGTATATTTTTTGATAGCTAATAATAGTAACAAGTGCCACCATTTATCATGTATGGCACTTAGTCATTATATGTTTGACATAAATATGCTCAGACCCTGACAACAGCCTCTGAGGGTTACTATTATCCATATTTTCTGGATAAGTAAACTGAAGCTCAGAGTAGTTAAGTAGCTCAATCAATGGCTATTCTTGCCATTCTCAGGGAAGATCCCCTGGAGAAAGACATGACAACCCATTCTGGTATTCTTACCTGGAGAATCCTATGGACAGAGGAGTCTGGCGGGCTATAGTTCATAGGGTTGCAAAAAGTCAGACACGACTGAAGCAACTTAGCATGCACGCCATTCTCTATTTAGAGTGCCTCTGTTTGAGTTTTATGTTCTGATCAAGAGCTTTTACTATGTGTCACTGCAAATGAAAAGAAAATTTCACACTGCAAGTGTGAATTTTGCCAGCTCACCAAGCGTGTTGTGTTGTTTAGTACATTAGTTATAGTCTCAGGATCTATGTTCATAGTGAATAGTCTTCATAATATCACTCTTCTGAAAACATTGAAGTTCAGTATCTTGAACTTCATAGTTCATTGAAATGCTTCTGGCTTTGTCATTATAAATTTATTTATTGTCATTATAGATAGTTACAGAATCAGTTTGTCAGTTTCCAACAAAGGAGTCTGAATGGTCTCCTTCTCAGTTTCTTTGGTCTCACGTTTGTGACCATTTCTCTGCTGTCATATGAGCAGATGTTTCATTGTAACCATTTCATGTTGACTGAGTATTTTATCCTTCTTACAGAAACTGATTTATGCATATTCCATCTTTAGAAATCTCGTCTAACCTTCCAGTTCCAGAGGGGCATTTGAGTTTTAGGTTACAGTCTACTAAGTTGCTGTACTTTTTTCAATACTAATCCTCTGTGTGACTTTTATTTCTTTTTTTCTTTCTTTCTTTTTTTTTTTAAGACTGGACGGGTACTCTATACTTGCTTTCAATCCATACAGGCCCAAAAGAGCTCAGAGTAAGTATGACAGAGATATATGTATGTATTGGTGGGTTAATCTCCAGTCCAAGGAATTGATTGTTTTGTTTCATTTTATTAATATTTCTCTCATTAGTAAGATGCGGAAAATTCTGTAGTCTACTTATACTTACTAACATCTCTGTGAGGAGTTAGCATCTCTTTAGTATCTTGGATACTGGGGATATACAAAGCTAGGCTAACATAAGTAGTCTGGACATTGCAATTACATCATTACAGCCCTGTCCCAGATTTCCTTTCTAGTATTATTCTAAACTGAGTTGCACTGTTAACATTTCCTTTCTCTGATGAATTGTGAAACAAAGACTGAGTATGCAGTCTTACAGATTTGTATAAGCTCTTGTGTATCCTGTACCATAAACTTGATTTTAGATGTACAGCATCTCACTGAAATGTTTACCTAGCTTACTTCCCTCATTGAAATTTTGTTCAAGCTATATTAGCAAATACAGTATCTACTGCATGCCATACACCACGGCAGGCACCAAGTAGGCAGAGATGAAAGCAACATTCAATATCTCATTGGGAGACAGAAGCAAAGAATGCTTCAGATTTTTTTCTTACAGTATTGCTCAATTTCTAATAATATCGTTGTTTGAAAGAGCAAAGACCTGGGGAAAAGAACAGATGTCTCTCAGTATAGTACTGATTAAATAAATTATCATATATCTAAATAATAGAATAATATTTGGCTATTAAAAATAGGAGGAAGCTCAGGAGTGATACATATACATCTCCAAGATACATTGTCAAATAGTAAAAGGCAAGGTACAAGAATAGTATGTATAGAATGCTATACCATTCATGAATATCTGGACAAAAACACATCAGTCACTGCAGCAGAGAGGAAGTGGGAAGACTTCATTGTATTTTTACATGGGTTTGGAATGTTGAATCATACACAAGGGTTATAGTTTTCATCACAGTAATAGATGTATGTGAATAAAAATACAGAATGGTACACATTTTTATGATCAATAGTCTTACTCCTCAGGAGGAATGACTTCTTTCTCCAAATCTTGTTTTTAGTTCTTCTAATATTTCCTTTGATATCTCTAAATAACATACTTTTGATATTCTTTCTTGATTTACTAATTTTAGATGTTAACTCTTCTTCTCACAAAGGAGGATTTAGCCCACTGATACTACCCCATCTCCGTTCTGCCCAGTGTAGTTATATTCCTCCTTTCTGTTCTTCTGTTGTTACTTTTCTAACCTTAAGTAGTTTGCTGCTTTAATTATCCTATCAACAGCTGATAACAGACAATATCTTTTGACTCCCTACTGTTACTGACAGATTTACCATAAACCTTGATACTTTCACAGTTGCAAAAATCTGGGTTCTGTGTTTGTGATCATAATTGTGTTTTCTGTGCTTTGTTCTTTTGTTGATTCTAAGACTAGGAAGCAAAATGTTTATATTGTTATGTTTCTGTAAATATTATTCCATGTACAACCAAGCACTGTAAAGTAGTATGCTGTGATTCTATTTCCTTTCTTGTATAGCTTTTTGCTTTTTCATGGTGTTCTGAATGGCTTTTTATCTCTTATTTCTGTGCCTTTATCACCTCCCTGAGCTCCAAATTCTTAAGCGTACTATGGAGATCTTTGGAATCTTTGCTTTTTCCTAGGATCACTCCCTAAAGCCTTCCCTTTTCCTTTGCTAATCAGGTCTCAGCTAATGTCCTGGGACTTTGTCTCCTGTACTGGCAGGCAAATTCTTTACCATGGAACCACCTGGGATGCCCCAAATAATACATACTTATCACAAAAAAGTTTCATAAAATACAGAAAGAAGAAAAGTACCCATAATACTAGCACTCAGAAATAAACATGGTGTATAACCCAGGAATTGAACCTGCATCTCCCACATTGGCAGGTGGATTCTTTACCATTGAGCCACTAGGGACGTCCTTAATTTGAGCTAAATTCTTATAAATTAAGATATTAATTGTAGGGCTTCCCTGGTGGCTCAGCTGGTAGAGAATCTGCCTGCAATGTGGGGGACCTGGGTTTGATCCCTGGGTTGGAAAGATCCCCTGGAGAAAGGAAAGGCTACCCACTCCAGTATTCTGACCTGGACTGTATAACTCAGTCAAAAATAATAAATAAATATAATTTTAAAAAATACATTAATTGCAGTTTCCTGAGAAACTATTAAGAAAATAGAGATACATAGTAGAGAGAGGGAGAAAGGAAGGGAGGAAGGAAAGAAAACAGTGTACTAGAAAATGTCTTTATTATATAAAAGGCAGTAGTGGACAAATTGAGGAACACAAAATGATAGAGGCATAACAATTATAAACATATATGCACCTAACAAAAGAACCCCAAAATGTACCACACACAAATTAACAGAATTGAAGAGAGAAACACACTAGTGGGAGACTTCACCCCACTTTCAGTAAAGGAGAACAACTAGAAAAAAATAATGAAATAAATCTGAATAATGCTATAAACAAGCTACACCTAACAGACATACAAAATTCCTTACCAAACAACAGCTGAATTCACACTCTCTCCAAGGGCACATGAAACACTCTCAAGGATAAACCACAGGTTAGCTCACAAAACAAGCCTCAGAAAAGTTTTGAAGATTGGAATCATACAGAATATCTTCTACAAAAATGAAATGGAATCTGAAATCAGTTACAGAGAGAAATCTGGAAAATTCACGGATATGTGGAGATGAAAAAACATGCTCTTAAACAGCCAGTGTTGATCACAAGATAAATTAGAAAATATTTTGAAACTAACAACATGAAAACACAATGTAGCAATATTACGGGATGCAGCAGCAGCAGTGCTCACAGAGGAATTTATCGCTATACATGCCAACTTTAAAAAAATTCCTCGAATCAGTAATCTAACTTTACATATTAAGGAAGTAGAAAAAGAAGTGCAAACTAAATTCTAAGCAGTTAACAAAGGAAGGAAATTAATAAAGACAAACAAAATAGGGAATAGAGAAATAACAGAATGAAAGAAAGCAAAAGTTAGTTCTTTGTAAAGAGCAACAAAATTGACTTATCTTTATCTATCTGCATACATGACTGATAAAGATGAGAGAAGAGACAAGAACCTAAAATCTGAAATCAAAGCAGGGACATTACTACCAACTTTACAGAAATAGACTTCCCTAGTGGCTCAGATTGTCTGCCTACAATGTGGGAGACCTAGGTTCAATCCCTGGGTCAGGAAGATCTCCTGGAGAAGGAAATGGCAACCCACTCTGGTATTCTTGCCTGGAAAAATGCATGGATGGATGAGCCTGATAGGCTACAGTCCATGGGGTCGCAAAGAGTTGGACACGACTGAGCGACTTCACTTTTCACTTTACAGAAATAAAAAAAAATGGTTATAAGGTGGAACTGAACAACTGTTAGATAACCTAAATGAAGTAGACAAATTCCTAGAAAAACAAATTGCCAAAACTGGCTCAAACAGAAATGGAAACCTTGAACAGACTTATAAAAATTAAATAGATTGACTCAGTGTTCAGAAACATCTCAACAAAGACAATTCCAAGACCAGCAGAGGACTTCACTGGTTAATTCTGCCACCCAGTTAAAGAAGGATTAACACTAATCCTTCTCAAACTCTTTCCAGAGGCCAAAGATGCTATTGGATTCAGTGTGGTAGCATTTTGTTGAGGATTTTCGCATCTGTATTCATAATAACATTTTATAATTTTTTTGTGATATCTTTGTCTAACTAGTTCTTATGTTGAACATCACTTGTATGCCAGGGTAAATCCCACTTGATCATGGCATATAATCTTTTTAATATGCAAAAATCCTCAACAAAAGATTACCATACTGAATTCAACAGCACATAAGAAAATCAGTTGATTAATACCCCACGTTAATAGAATGAAGAAGAAAAAAAAACACACATGATGCACAAAAAGCATTTGACAAATTTGAAAATCATAATAAAAACACTCAAAAAACTAGGGATCTAGGGAACATGTCTCAGTATTTATGGGCTTTTATGAATCCCATAGCTAACATTTTACTCAGTGTTGAAAGACTGAAAGGTTTCTCCCATAATATCAGGAACAAGACAAGGTTGCCCACTTTTATCACTTTTACTCAACATTTTACTGGTAGTTCTAGCCAAAACAATTAGGCAAAAACAGAAAGGCATCCAAATTGGAAAGTAAAAAGTAAAGCTATTTGCTGGTGATGTGATCCTATGTATAGAAAATGTTAAACACCCCAGAGCTACTAGAGTTGATATACAAATTCAGCAAAGGTGCAGTGTTCAAAATCAGTTGTATTTCTATACACCAGCAATGAGCCATCAAAAAAAGAACACTTTAAAAATCCATTTATGATGGCACCCAAAATAATAAAATACCTTGGAAAAAATTTAACAAGAATGGAAAGAGTTGTAAAGTTAAAACTAGGATACATTGCTGAAAGGAAGAATACCTAAATAAATTAAAAGACATCACTTGTTCATGAATCAGAAGACACAATATTGTGAAGATGACAGTACTTACCAAAGATTCAGTAAAATCCCTATAAAATTCCAATGGCCCTTTTTCCAGATATGGAAAAGATGATCCTCAAACTCATGGAATTCCAAAGTGTCCTGAAGAGTCAAAATATCAAAAAAGAAGAATCAAATTCGAGGAGTCATACTTCCAGATTTCAGAACTTACTACAAAGCTTCACTAACCAAAGTTTGTGGATCTGGCAAAAGTAGAGACATAGACACTAATGAAATAAATAAAGCTGCTTATCTACAGCCAATTGGTTTTCACGAAAGGTGCTGATGTCATTCAATGAGGAAAGAAGAGTTTGTTCAATAAGTGGTGCTGGAACAACTGGTTATCCACATACACCAGGTATAAAAATTAAATCAATGACGTAAACAGAAGAGCTAAAACTATAAAATGCTTAGAAGAAAACATAGGGGTAAATTTTCATGAAAGAAAATTTCTATAAAGAAAGCTGAGCACCAAAGAATGG